AGTCTTCCATAAACTAAAAAGCCTGGATGCCGCGATTGATATAGTAATTTTTGCTACACTTTGATCAGAACTTGGAACTTTGGCTTCAGCTTTTATGCCAAACGCAATTTGCAGCTCTCCCCCTCATATTAGAGTACAAAAGTATAGAAACTGTAGTCAAATATGATATCATTGCCCGCAGTGGCAAAAGGCCCGAGCCCACAAATTTCCAAAGCAAAGTTTAATTTTTGACTCTTTGCAGCCATTTATTAGAACTTGATCATGGCTGGTGGAATGAAGCCCTTGAACATGAAGTGCAGTGCACGTCATTAGAGACAATAGAACAATAAATAAAGTCGGACAAAAGTTGAACACAGGGATTCAAACACAGCATGCATGGCATGCATTGACATATGATACCAAACCAAACAAATGAGGCCCTGAACGTTTCGCTATGGGCCTGCCGTTTTGAGTATTTTTATGAATTTGAAATCTTTAGAGAAAAAAGTATTCGTAGGAATGTAAGCAGGAATAAGAAGAAAACCCCTTTTGGTCAAGAATACTATGGGCAAGTTTTTGAGATGTTTTGTATGTAGTTCTTGAATGATTAACAAAAGGATAACAAGGGCTCGGGCAAGCTTTATCCTCTGAATATAAATCATACCTCATGGTCTATGAATAAGACGTGAAACACGGAGTTGAAACTTGAAACCGTTCTGTTATATAAACCAAAGCGTTTACAAGTTCTGCCGTTACAGCATCGAGCACCAGGTAAAGATCGTCAAAAGACCTACGAAAACATATTGCAAATTTGCACTTCACCTAAGCATTCGTCGCGTGCTGTATCATAATTCAACTCCCCCTGGTCAACCTCAACTCCCCCTGTTCAAGCTTAACTCCCCCTGGTCATAAAACCACTATACATTTGACTGTAGATTGAAGCGAAGAAACTCCCCCTGGTTTGGTCGGTATTCTTTGATGTTTTGGATTTTGAAATCCATGGGTTCTCGCGCCAAAGTTTAGAACCCCTCGACCTGGCACCGTGATTGGCTAGATTCACTTCCACGGGTGCAGAAAATCGTATAATTTACAGGCCACGGGTTCCTCAAGTGGCTGGTTATAAGAGGAGACAATGCTTTCCGAGTCTGTAGAATGCTATACAGTAAAACCAGGGGGAGTTTGATAACACTTCAATGCATGGACTGAAATAACAATGTTGAACAGTTGTGAGACGGGGCATTGAAGCGGATATAACAATTTCAGGAGATGTGCATACTTCTCGGTAAAAGAGATAATAAATGGTTTAAATAATTATAAACAAAAATGCGATAGAATAAGCTTTAATCCCCAAAAAGTTTTTCCTCAAATCTGAGGGGTGCTCGAGCCCCTTTCGCACCCCTCTGGATCCGCCCCTGATGAATACCGCACTCTCCTTCGAGTACACTGACTGCCACTGTGGTCATCAGCAATACAATGAAAACACAATTTGAATTGATTTGCTGCATTCCATCGTTGACGAATGACATGACATTTTCGAAAGACATGACATGCCCACACACCATGCTTACTAGTGCACACTTTGCGCAGTTGCTGTCTATAATAATAATAATAATAATAATAATCAATTTATTTAAAGTTGGCGCTACATAGCTATTTACAAAGAAATGAGCTAATCCAAGCCAACTGTTAAAACTACTACATCAACTAAATACATACGAGATTAAATACATAAAATTTTAAATACAAAATGATCCATTAAAAAACTATAAAAACCTGAGCTATTTAAAAGATAGAATTACAAAAAACCAAGCTGTGGCACGAACGTCCTACATAGTTTGCATGTACAGTCTGTGCCATTCCAGCTTTTAATTTCTTTCTTAAACTCATTAATAGATTGAGCATTCCTTATGTGCTGAGGTAAAGAGAGCCAAAGACGCTGCCCTCTATATTTGATAGTTTCGGTTCCATAAATGGTTGTTCTTACTCTTGGTGCCATAAATTCATTATTATTTCTCAAATTATAAACAGCATGACGCTCGCAGAAAATCTCCCTCATAAAAGGAGGGTTGATATTTCCCTTTGTTTTAAACATTTCAATCATAAGATTTCGCAGGTGTTTTACATGAATATTTACCGAGCCATCATTTTCTAGCAGAGTGTTGAAGCTAGAATCATAGTCTTTGTATGCAATTCTCAGAGCTCTTTCGTGTATTCTATTAATCTTACTATTCAAGTGCCTACTGTGGAACATCCAGACTAGTGGACAATATTCGAATTGGCTAATTACAAATGCTCTCATTAAGATTTTAAGTTTATTAGCGTCCATGTATCCAGATATGCGAGCGAGGGCGGTGAGTTTGCTACCAGCCTTCTTACATAACTTACTGATATGTGTCTCAAAACTGAGTTTTTTGTCTATCACAACACCTAGTAGCTTTTCCTCTTCCGAGTTTTCTATGATAGAATCTCCTACATTAACTTTAACCTGTTGATTAGAACTTTTGCCAAGAATAAGTAAATGACATTTGTTTGTATTCAACTTCATAAAGTTATCAGCGAACCATTGGATAGTTATACTTGAGTCATTCTCTAGCCTTGCAATTACATTATTGAGATTTTTATCGCACGCATATAGAGTTGTATCATCCGCGTAATTGCAGATATCCGTATCCATTAAGGAGAGAAGTAAGTCATTTATGTAGATGTTAAAGAAGAGGGGACCAAGAACTGATCCTTGCGGAACACCAAGGAGCAATTGTTTGTAGGTACTGAATGATCCATTAATCTTAACTCTCTGATGCCTATTTTCCAAGTAGCTGTTAACAAGACACAGTGCTTCATGGCTGAATCCGTAAGCATCTAGTTTTGCTATAAGGAGGTCATGTTTAATACAATCAAAGGCTTTCGAGAGATCCATAAGGATTGCGCCAACATTTTCTCCCCTGTCTAAGCTTGCTTTCCATTTTTCAAGCATTCGAGCTAATGCGTGCTGCACATTGTACCCTTTACGAAAACCACATAAAAGTGACGATAAATACGATTGCATATAATCAATAATCTGTTTATCCATAAGTCTCTCAAAAACCTTTGAAACAGTTGGTAGTACACTAACCGGTCTGTAATTTTTCTTATTGGTTTTCTCCTCCGATTTGTGGAGGGAAGTGACATCTGCTAGTTTTAATAGGTCGGGAAAGACACCATTTTGAATGCAGTTATTGAAAATAAGCTGCAACGATTCGGAACAAATGTCAGAGCTATTTTTCAGCACTCTCGCGGGTATATTTCCAAAGGTTGTTGCCTTTTTAGGATTAAGCCCCTCAATTTCAGAGTGTATCTGTTCCACAGTAACCTCTTGGAATTTAAAGTAGCCTTTAATTCGAGCAAAACTGCGAATTTTCCTAATGCTAGGGTGTTTTGAATATTTCATTATAGCCTTTTCTATAGGATCTGATAAACCATCTGTACTTATGGTAAACTCCCTGTTCCCTGTCAGACCTAATGAGTCAGTTATCGATATAAAATAATCGTTCATGGCTTCTGCAACTTCCTTATCATTGGAAATCATCCTATTATTATCGATAAGGGTAATATTTGAGTTCGATCGACTTTTATCGGAAAGGACAGGTTTTACAGTTTTCCAAAATTTCTTGTTGTCTGTAATATCAGAAGTATTCAAATTTTTATAGAAATTTCTTTTTTCCGTTCTAAATAATTTGACACACAAATTACGCTGTCGACGAAACGCTTCCCAATGTTCAGCTGTGCGGCTTTTATTATATCTATTTTTCAACCTAGAGCGCAGCATAGTAGCTTTACGAAGAACTCGATTCATGAAGGGACCATCATTGGCCCTTGCGTATTTTTTCTTCATCGGTGCATGCTTATCAAGTACCTTCTCAAAGCAATTTTGAAAAGAACTGTAGTCTAAATCAGTTGTTTTAATGCTAGCCAACTCTTCCTTAAGTTCTCTTTTGAAAGTCTGCTCCGAAAATTTCTTATATTCTCTATAGTTAATAACAGTAGGTCCAGCCTTTTGGTACGTCGTTTTCAAAACTGTGACTATCATTTTGTGAAAGTCAGAGAGACCTGTCTCGGTAGTGGTGGTATGTTGGAAGCTCCTATATCTGTTGGTTAAGATTAGGTCAATACACCGTGGATTGTCAGCCTTGAAACAGGTTGGCTCCTTCACCATATTTCTGAGGTCATAACTATTCATAAAAGTACGAATCTGTTGACCTGTCTCTACTGTATTAAAATCCCCAAGTAATAAAAATTTGTCATATTTTTCACTGTAATGATCAACTGCTTTGCCAAGATTTTCGAAAAAGTGTTCTTGTGATTGGGACGGTGGTCTGTAAACACTGAAAAGAGCCCACTTATTCCCCCTTAAATTGATTTCAAAACAAATACATTCAATGTCAAGATCAAATTTAAATGACTTTAACTGCTTCATTGTGATGTCACTTTTCACATAGACCAACAGACCGCCACCCTCACAATTTCTGTCAAGCCGTAGTGGATCAGCATAACCTTCAATATAGAATTGTCCCTTTGGGAATGAATCATCAATTTTTGTTTCGGCGACCATTAGAATGTCAAGATTCTGTGAAACTATCGCTTTTAGTGCATCAAATTTATTTCTAATGGAATTTATATTTAGATACCCGATAGTCATACGACCTATGTTCTTTAAACGCAGATTATGTAATGCTGATTTTGCATCACTGTCGTCGGTGGTGTCATGTAGGTCATGCGCAGTAGTTCCAGCAGTAACTGCTGGGGCGTTACAAATACTGGCGCTGGATAGATCAGGCTTCCCAGGTTCTATGCCGATGGGAAGCTCTTTGTATGGTTTTACCCCCTCGATTTCTAGTCAGTATCCTAGATTATAAATAAAATTGTTAGCTAAAAGCGTGTTTCCACGGTCATTTAGATGTAGCCTGCTACCATACATCCTACCCAGGGGCGGATCTAGGGTGCCGCAAATGCCTTGCGTAAGGCAGTCACCTGCAGCTGGAAAAAAATTAAAAAAAAAATTCAGCTAAGGGGAGCACATCCTTTCATTTCTTTGTTTATGGCCAATGCTCTTCTCCGATAACGCTATTCATCACGTCCCTTGAGCGGGTTTCCTATAGCCTGTGCCCCAGTCCACAAATGCTAGTTTCCTATCTTCCTCTATGGGTCCCTACTCTGCAATATTGTTTTGCCTCGTATTGAACGAATAAGTGATTCTGTCCTTGCGATTATGTGATCCTCTTCCCTGCCACAAGTGATTTGACATAAATTATTTTTGCGGCATTTCGCATATTAATTTTTGTTGCCCGCGCAGTTTTAAACAATCATTTTTGTGACCCTACGTCATTTTTATTGTTCTCCTTGCGGCATCGATGAGATGTATGAGAGATTATTTATATATATGAAATATTCGGGGAGGGCTCAGCGTATGGTTATTTGGAACCTCGAATTGCCGCACAAGTGCCGCAAATGATACCAGTGTGATACTTGTGATACGAAGGTGATGGGTGATCTCAAACACGATCAGGAACCTCATTTCACTTCTGTTCCACTGAACAGCGTTTTGTTCCCGCGGATTCTTTACTAAATCTCAGTTATCATGGATCTCCTTGCAAAAGTTGAAAATTTTATTGGAGCTGAGGATTTGGAAAGCTTGAGAACCCTGTCATTATCCGAACTTAGGAAACTTGGGAAGCTCGCTCCTTTGTCTGTTGATAAAGTATCGGAGCTAGGCCTGAAGTATGACAACTCAGCCCGTGATTTCCTACCCTGTGTGAGAAAAAAGTTGCATGTTGAGCTGGGAAGGAATATTTTTCTTGCAAGGTAATTTTTACGTACTTTTGTTCGTAATCTGTTCTTAACTATGTTTGCAAGGCCTCCGAAGGGGACGCATGCCCCCCTCCACTTTTTTTGCAAAACAATAGAGTATTTTCAAAATCATTGTTATGGGTGTTAAATTTTCCCTTCCCCTCACTTTTTAACCTGTTCTGAAGCCCATGGTTTGATTAAATGTCAGCCCCAAGTAGGTCGCAAAGATATTTATATTTTTTCAAGAATTTTAACCTCTTAGGGTCAATTAGCATGGCCTACTACTAGAGACATTGATTGCTCAAAGTGATGAATAAATTATGATTATTTTTGAAATTTTGATTTTTTTCGAAGCTTTTCAACACTGGATGTAAACTATTCAAGTTTGTGATGTTCTATTTTGCTTCAAATATTTAAAAGTGTAATATTAAGGGTATATACCATACATGAATCAGTTAAAAATCAGATTTGAAAAATCTGTTGCTATTTGTGCCAAAACTAGATGCTGTAGTCTGAGCAATTTTTAATACAAATTGTATTATCTTTGTAACTTCTTGGCATAGCTCTTACCTGATTGACAAGAACTTGTCTTGTGTTTTCAACCTCCTTTGGCAGAAAATATTGAATATAATTGAATATATTAATACTTTTATGAAAAAGGGTTATATTTCCTGATGCTCTAAGCTGGTGTTTGAGAGATTGGCATGTGTGCCTTGTGTGGAAAGAAATGTTTACAAAAAAAAGGATTGATCTGTCTGAATGATTTCCCAGCAATAAAACAACTAAAAACTATTTTATTTAGGGTCAGTGGTGATGGTAATTGTTTGTACAATGCAGCATCTGTGGCAATTACTGGCCAAGAAGAATTGTCTCCTACACTCAGGGCACTTACCTCAGCAGAGCTTTATCTTAATGCTACCTACTATGCATCCCATCCCCACTTTGTATCTCTGCTGGCAACAGACAAGACCCCTGGTCTTATTGGCAGGTTTTTCCAATTGTCACATTCTTTTGAAGTGAGTGATTTAGCAACATCAAATCACTTTGAGTTCACGCAGTCTGCAAAGGTTGAAGCACTTAAAAATTGTCAGGTTAAGAGATGGAGCCCTTTTATATGCTTATTAGCTTTAGCTAGTGTCATTGGGATACCCATACACTCATTGTATCCTGAAACCGGTGGCATGATAGCTGGAAAATATGCAGCAAAGTTGTTTAATGCAATTATTCATCCACGTGAACGGCTTGATGATAGCAATTCCCATATCCACTTGTTATGGTCATGTTTTGAGGATTTTAAGAGGCACATAAATCCAAATTTTAAACCAAATCATTTTGTTCCAGTTTTTGTTGGTGACAACTTTTCTCTAGATTCTAGTAATGCCAAATCTAGACCTTCTCAAACTCTTAATGTTGCAGCTTCAGGAGTGAAATATGGCAAATCCAAATCTTCTGTCGCTGCCTCTTTTTCTTCACTGAAACAAAGCAAGATCTGTTTCCATTCTTCAACTGAATCGTCTGATAATGATTTTATGCCTCAAGTAACTAGCTCTCCTCCTGTTGCTGTACTTAAAACAGACAGTGCCTTGGAAACTGCTGTTACAAATTCGTATGATATTGGTTCTTTTTATGGTCAAGTTGAATCTTTCACAGAAGCTAAGAAGTATGACCTTTGTAAAAATGTATGGGGACCAGATGCAAATTTTGTTTTTCCTTCCCATTCTATATATGGAAGTAAACGGAAATTTTCTTTTTCTTGGCTTAATGATTATCCATGGCTCCGATATTCGAAAGCTCTTGATGGTGCATTTTGCCTGCCTTGTGTCATTTTTGGACGAAGAATTGGTGTAAATTCATCCAAAGTAGACAAACTGGTGAAAAGTCCTTTCACAGATTGGTCCTGTGCAGTTACTAGATTTAAATCACATTGCAAATCTGATATCCACAAAACATCTTTGTTAACAATGCAGACCTTTCTTAATGTAAAGCAAGAATCAAGTCCATTGACCAAATCAGCAATCAAGCTGTAGATGCTCTTGTCACTAAGAATAGATTGAAGCTTGCCCCGATTGTAAAGTTAGTTATCTTTTCTGCAAGACGAAATTTTCCACTGCGAGGACACAGGGATGACTCAAGCTATTACAACAAGGAAGATACAGGGAATTTTCAAGCACTTCTTGATTTAAGAGTTGACAGTGGTGATCTGGTTCTTAAAGAACATTTTGATACTGCTCCTAAAAATGCCACATATAGATCTAAAACTATTCAAAACGATATAATTTCTTGTTCTGCCAACATCCTCAACAGTAAAATAATATCTGAAGTAAGGCATTCAAAATATTTTAGCATCTTGGCTGATGAAGTTTCTGACTGTTCTAATAAAGAACAGATGCCTCTTGTGATCAGGTATGTAGACAGGGATAACAACATCCAAGAAAGGTTTCTTAAATTTATACATTGTGACCAAGGTGTTACTGGGAAAGCTCTCACAGACAAGATACTTGATTGTTTGGTCAACGATTTTAATCTTGATATTCAAAACTGCCGTGGTCAATGTTATGATGGGGCTGGGAACATGGCTGGCAAGTATTCTGGAGTTTCTTCTCGAATCCTTCAGTTGAATCCTTTGGCTCTTTATACACATTGTGCATCTCATAGGTTAAACTTATGTGTTGCTTCTGCTTTTGAGGACCAGAATGTAAGCAATATGATGGACAGAGTGAAACAAATATCAAATTTTTTCAATTATTCTCCTAAACGACAGCTGCTCTTAGAAGAAAATATTAAGAAGCTGAATCCAAATTGCAAATACACAAAGCTCTTGGATATTTGTCGTACCAGGTGGGTTATGCGAATTGATGGTCTGGCTAGATTTCTCGAAATGTATGAAGCTATAGTTGAAACAATGCTAACCATCAGCCAAAACAGAGATAGGTCTTGGAATTCATGTGCAGCTGATGCATCTTCTTTTTGGTCCTTGCTCGTAAATTTCAACTTTTTAATGACCCTCGCTGTTGTAAGAAACTGCCTTGGTTATACCCATGCAGCTACTGTGCAACTTCAAGGTGTGGAGGTCGATATCTTGAAAGGGCTTCAAATGGTAAAGACAACAATTACATCTTTGCAAAAAGTCAGAAGTGAAATTGAAACGTATCACGGACAGTGGTTTGAAGATGCTTGTGAAATTGCAGAGAAAGTTGAGGCACCGGTCATTGCCTATAGGGTCTGCAGTACACAAAGATTTAGAAATAATGCCCCATCTTCTGATGTATCCAGTCACTATAAGGTCAACATTTCTATTCCTTTCTTGGATCATTTACTACAGCAGTTTCTGACAAGATTTTCAACTGAAAACTGTATCGCCTTAAACGGTCTTTCCATACTACCAGCAATCTTTAGGTCAACTTCCAAAGAAAGCTCTGTTATTGGCCGCAAACGATCCCTTCAAGATGCTGACTATCAAACTGCTGAGGAAAATTTACCGCAACTAAAAAGAATCAAGGTAGCATCTTCTAATTTTAAAGACAGTAAGGAGAAGAAAAAAGTAAAAATACAGCGCGTTGACAAGAAGTGGAAAATTGATTTTGAAAAGTTTTGCAACCAGTATGCAGATGATCTCCCAGATGCCTCAAATCTTTCTTATGAAGTGGATAACTGGGAGTCTTTTTGGAGCCATGTACCAGATAACATGCTGCCTGAAACGATTGCAGACACGATAAAGGAAACAAACCCAATTTCTTTTCCCAATATTTCTACGGCACTGCGAATCTTAGCTGTTCTTCCTGTGACAAGCTGTAGCTGCGAAAGATCTGCATCAGCTATTCGGCTTCTTAAAACCTACACAAGAAGCACAATGTCCCAAGACCGCTTAAATGGACTCGCCAGCCTATATACACACAAAGATATCAAAATAAATATTCAAGAAGTAATTGAAACATTTGCTCGCAAGTGCAAGAGAAGACTTTCCCTCATCAACCTATTAAAATCTGACAATGATCTTGACAGCAATGATGAATCAATATATTCTGAAGTTTATTGATTTAATATCATATGTTACAGCTAATGCTTTTTGTTGAAGAACTACACTGTGCGAATTGTTTTATATGAACTTGCGTCTTGCCATCTCCAGCCTTGTCTTGCATTGAAGAACTGCATCCAGATTTAATAAATGTTTTATATGAACTTGCGTCTTGCCACCTCCAGCCTTGTCTTGCATTGAAGAACTGCATCCAGATTTAATAAATGTTTTATATGAACTTGCGTCTTGCCACCTCCAGCCTTGTCTTGCATTGAAAAAGTGCATCCAGATTTAATAATTGTTTTATATGAACTTGCGTCTTGCCATCTCCAGCCTTGTCTTGCATTGAAGAAGTGCATCCAGATTTAATAATTGTTTTATATGAACTTGCGTCTTGCCACCTCCAGCCTTGTCTTGCATTGAAGAACTGCATCCAGATTTAATAATTGTTTTATATGAACTTGCGTCTTGCCATCTACAGCCTTGTCTTGCATTGAAGAACTGCATCCAGATTTAATAAATGTTTTATATGAACTTCCGTCTTGCCACCTCCAGCCTTGTCTTGCATTGAAGAACTGCATCCAGATTTAATAAATGTTTTATATGAACTTCCGTCTTGCCATCTCCAGCCTTGTCTTGCATTGAAGAACTGCATCCAGATTTAATAATTGTTTTATATGAACTTGCGTCTTGCCACCTCCAGCCTTGTCTTGCATTGAAGAAGTGCATCCAGATTTAATAATTGTTTTATATGA